ATATATAACAGTAATATACTATTGTGATAGTACGCGGTGTGTTGATAAGTCGCAGGCGCAACAGAATTAAAAATTATTGTACAATACGATAGGCCTTGTGCGCATGTGCGGAGTGCGGGCGTGCGTCCTTGATCAGCGCCAGCGCCCTCACGCTTGGACGCCGGAATTACAACCACGTTCCGTCTATGAGTATAAGGTCTATGCTTTATACCCCCTTCTGCTCTCAATTTTGGTGGTCTATGGGAGGCAGCTGTGAAGTCTGCAAAAAGACATTTGTTTTGACACCTTGCTTTGCCGAATCGAGGCTGTATTAAACTCTCRCCCAATATCTCCAATGTCTGATGATCCATCCGATCTCAATGCACTGACCCCAGGCCATTTTCTAATAGGAGGAAGTTTGACACTACCCGCTGAACCTGACAGCTTTGGAATACCGCTCAACAGAGTGAAAAGATGGGAGTTGGTTAAGATGCAAGCTCAAACCTTTTGTAAATGGTGGAGCGCAGAATATCATCCACAACTACACAAAAGAGGTTGCTGGCTATCAAAAAATGATAACGTTAAAGTAGGTTCATTGACTATTTTAAAGGAAGACAATACACCATCCCTCAAATGGAAAATGGTCAGAATCATAAAGGTCCATCCTGGAGATGATGGAATTGTTCGTGTGGTTACTATCATTAACTCGGCTGGCAGGAAGTTTCAACGTCCAACATCTAAAATTGCAGTGCTGCCCAATCACGAGGACGAAGAGGATGCAGCCCAATCACAAGGATGAAGAAGATGTTACCTAACCACTCTTCATACATCGTTATCTGAAATGTATCTCTGTATAAGCATTCTATTGCTCATTTGTATTTTTTATAATTATTTTTTTATGACTATGTATGCCAGTTTTATCAGCATGTGTTCAAATTTATAGTTTCTATGTTAAATGTATTGTATCTAATTTTGAAAGATTTTTACCCTTTCAAAGGKGGAGTATGTTCGCGCCAAAATGGCTTTTTCTAGTATTTGTATCTGTCATGTCTTTATGTTGTTATGTTCCGTAGTGGTCTTATCACRCGTCGCTGCTGCGCGGTCGACCTGGCATCAGCTGTGGTGTGCTGACCACCCAGTGCGTGTGTGAGACCGTTACGTTATCTGTTATTGTTGTTTTTAAAATTTGTTCTCTATTAATTCGTGTAAAAGTATCTAAAAGGGCTCATTGTCACCTGCATTTTTATAGTTGTTCGTATTTCGTGTTGTTGTACAAGTGACACTGACATTGTGATTAAGTGAGTTACCATAAAATTCGGTTAGGTTATAATTTGTTTTCTTTTCGTCGTTTCTTTCTTTACCGCTCGCCACCGAGTACTGTTCGTACTATTCTATGCTTTTTCTGTTTTCTTCGTCTGCTGCTGCTAAACCACGTTTTTCCGTCCTATATTGTATTGTGTATTAAAACTCTGGTAAKCATCGTTCGCTCAACATTTKTTGACTATCATTAATTGTTTTTCCCGTTCTAGGGTGTTCACCTCTAGCCAGAGTTATTGTACAAAACGTGGTTTTGTGTTTATGTACGCAGTAGCAACCATCGTGTTCGTGTATATTGTGAGTTCTACGTTGTGGTACGGCTAGGTGGTCGCACGTGAGCGGGCTGTAATATTTTGTTCCTACTTACGTCCCCGGCACGGTTCGCGTGTGATAAAATCCACCATCTAACGTACCACAGGTGAGTCGTGTTAATGTGTTAAGGCCGACGGGCCTACTTAATATAATTACATTCTTAGGCATAAATTACCATTGTCCATTGTATACACAAAAAAGAAAAWATGTYAAAWAAATGCCAATGCCAACACAAATTTATTTTATTAATATCCTACTCTTAGACCGTGAAGGCACATTCCTTTATTACATAGGAAAGCTCAACTCGAGTCAACAAGTTAACTACCTCCTTTTTCAGTTCAAAGAGACATGTCATTCTTAATTGAGTATTGCAAGGTATTATAATTTATGTTTATAATTCAAAACAAAAAGTATTTTTGTGATTTCTGAAATAATGAAATGTTGTTTTATAAGTTTGTTAATATTTAGGTAATTTGTTAGTTTAAAACTATCAGTTCAATAATTGATTGGTGTCTAGCTTCTAGATACCTACACCAGTTATTATTTTTATGTATGTTTTTGAATTTTTATCCATAAATATTAGTGCTGTTAATTATTTTTTAGGTAATGAAACCTATTTCAATAGCATTAGATGTGTTACAAGGGGAAAAGCATGTGTGTATTGGGTATCTCTTACCAACTATAACAGCAGTAACAAAAGAATTAAATGAATTAAACAATTTAAATTACTGTAAACCATWAGTTAATGCTCTCAAAAATGGATTAAAAAAAATGTAAAATTAATATGTTAAATATTATTATAAATCATGGCTAAATTTTAATGAGTTTTCTATTATTATAAATTTAAAAGAATATTTTACATGTGATGATGGACGAGGTGCTTTTATAGTTTTATACTCGTTAATCACTTAAATATATATATATTTCACTACCTATTTATCTAGTTAAACAGCTGATTTTGAATCAGTTATTTCATATTATTTTTGATATTGTGTATGTATTTAAAAAAAACATATAAGATATTATAAAACAAATTTTTGGTTTTAATTATAAACTGCTAAACATCATCGCATTAGTGTCAAKCCCCTATGGTAGCAGTACTCAATTTTAAAAATGCAAATTAAATAATATAATCAAAATCAGTACATTAAAGACGACATAATTTGAAAAAAAATAAAAATCTGTGAAAATATTTACGTTAAATTGAATTAAAATTTTATTTCAGATTCAATAGTTACATGCAGTCTAAACCTCTTCAAGTTTCTTCAGCATTTGTTCCAAAATTTAAATTAACTTGGGTAAGCCCAGAAAATAGAATTGCAACCAAAGGTG